TTAGGTTTAGGGGGGTTAGGTTTAGGTTTAGGGGTTAATTTTAGGTTTAGGGTTTACAGCATGCTTCTCTCTCCGCGCTGTTGTCGCCCTGTTGAGGACATCAGCTACGCAGTTTACTCAGACGCGGTTTAGTCGAGCACGGATTTGTGGTGGAACCCAATATTCCTATGTGTTACTTCTTGTCTTCTGTGCTTTGGATATAAGGTTGTCCCCTTCTCCTCTGTGGCATGCCCTCAAATACTGGAAGACTGCTATAATGTCACTCCTAGTCCTTCATTAGACTTGAGATACCCAGTTCTTGCAACCATTTTAGCCCCCAGCCCCATAATCATCTTTGTTGCTCTTCCCTGCATCCCTGAATACACATGTTCAAGAATACTCATCACTGCAATCTAGAAGGAACAATTAAAAAAAAAGCAAGGTTCATGACAGCAAGGATTTGTTTACTTTGCTCTTCTGTGCATAATGAGGTCGTGTTTTCCGATGGGGTCACTAAACAGAAAAGTCATCCTGCCAAGTACTAATAGTCATCCTGCTCTACACCCATTTTGGTAAAAGCTTTGTAGTATTTCATTTAGTTGCTACAGAGTCTTTTCCTGTGAATACATTTTTGACCTCAGGCTCATTATTCAGCAGGATTGTTCTGAGAAGGATCCACCCTTGTCTGATGGCTTTTCAGTACATTATTACACAATAACCTGTTATTATGTGATTGTTTTTGGCCTTTCATAGTACTATCCCAAGGCTATAGGAGCTCTTATAAGTGAAGTGATTTTTTTAAAAAAAGAACTTTAAACCAGCTACTATGCCATTATGATACTGATCTGCAAATCTCTGTTTTTAGTGTAATTACTGTAGAGCAGGGGTAAAGGAGGAGTAATTCTAGTTGAATTGCCTTTGCTGCTTTGTTGAATAATAAAAAAATGCTGAAGCAAAGATAAGGATGACTACATTTTTTTATGGTTCTGGTTTGCAATGTTTATGGTTCTGGTTTGCAATGTCTATCGGCCAACCCAAAACCATTTTGAATAAATGGAATTTAGGCTGCACCCATGCTGCAGAATTTCATGCTCCACATCTGGTGAAGCAGGACAATTGCAAACATTTTGTGCCTTCAGACATTTCATAAAATTAGGGATACACATGTATTCTTGAATCTCTTCCCTCCTTAGATCAAGGAAGAACTACCACCAGCATCTGATCTGGCATTGTGAGCAGCTGCCAGAGTTGTCACATCAAAGCTGATGAATGCCCTGAGCAACTCCTTAATTGTGTGTTTTTTAAATTACTCATTTGATGCTCCAAGAATCTTGGGTCTGGGCTCTATTTTAATTTATCCCAATGTTCCAGTGGTGCATAATAACATAACAGTGCATTATTATGGAAAATTAAAACGAAAGCTAAATCTAGGGCTGATTAGATCCCTGCTGGAGTTCTTCAGATTTGGGGAGAGGATGTCAAAAAGTAGAGTTGATTGGCCAAGATATACAGTTGAAGTCCTGGTCATTTTTAACACAGTCCTAGCTCCCATCTTGAGTTTTTCAGACCAGCCCCCAATAGCTCTCCTTTATCATAGGCCAGGAACATACCAACCTAGAATGTGGTATTGGCGATTTTGTCAAAAGCCAGTTTACCTATATTCCTCAAAAATAAAATAAAAAATGGAGGTTTACTACCATTCAACTGCAAACAGATTAACAGAGCTGGAAGAGACCTTGTAGGTTGTCTAGTCCAACCACCCGACCAAGCAGGAGACTCTATACCAGTGATGGCAAATCTTTTAGACACAGAGTGCCCAAACTGGAAGGCGTGTGCATGGATGAGTGTGTGTCTGTGCCAGAACACTGGAAACCCAACAACTAGCTGGTTGGTGCGCATGGAAGCCTCAGAAACCCAACAACCAGCTGGCTGAGCTGGGAAGGTGCTGCATATGCCCAGAGAGAGGGCTCTGTGTGCCAATTCCGGCACACATGCCACAGGTTCTCCATCACAGCCCTACACCATTTCTGACAGATGGCAGTCCAGTCTCTTCCCGAAAGCTTCCAGTGATGAAGCTCCCACAACTTCTTAAGGCAAGCTATTCCATTGATTGATTGTTCTGTTAGGAAATTTTTTCCTACTTATAGGTTGAATCTCTCCTTGATCAGTTTCCATGCATTATTCCTTGTCTGGCCTTCAGGTGCTTTAGAAAATAGCTTGACTCCTTACTTTCTGTGGCAGCCCCTCAAATATTGGCACACTGCTATTATGTCTTCCCTGGTTCTTCTGTTCACTAGACTAGCCATGCCCAGTTCTTGCAACTGTTCATTGTATGTTTTAGCCTACAGTCCCTAATCATCTTGGTTGCTCTTCTATGCATTCTTTCTAGAATATAATACAATACAAAAGCAGAGTTGGAAGGTACCTTGGAGGTCTTCTAGTCCAACCCCCTGCCTAGGCAGGAAACCCTATACCGTTNGAGCGCTTCCCGCTTAAACTCTTAGTCAGCGCATGCTCAGAATACAACAGGAACCTAATGAATAAAATGACTAGTATGAAATCACAGTGTTCAGTGCTATATAATATTTCTCGAAAATGCCGATACATGGTATTATTTATATTAACATAATAGAAGCTGTATATGAAGTCTGATATCTGTCAGCAAAAGTAGTTTTCTGTATCTTTTTACAGCCCAGATATGGTAGCCCTACAAAATCAAAGATATATAAAGAGGTAAAAATGTTTTATGAATGTCTAAGATAGAGAGCTTGGATTCTGAGTAAAATCTTAGCCATTGTGCAACCTTATTTTGGAATGACTAAGGTGAAAAAATGTCTTGGGTTTCTAGATAATATAGTTCTAAAGAAGCAGTCAAAGAAAACTGGGTTTGAGGTCAGAACAAGAAGTTATTTTTATAACAGCAACCTTCCCTAACCTGATTTTCGTGTGGAAGTAATTTGCAGTCCAATACATATAGCAGAAAACTAGATTAAATAAGACTGTACTAGACTGAGAGCTAATAATGAGACATTTATCTTCTGAACTGGCTACTTAGAATTTATTTATTTCATTTATTTAGTTTGTCACTCATGAACAAGATAACAGGAATAAGAATAAACATGAATAAGAACACAGGAAATGGGTACAAATAAATGGGGACAGTAGGACAGGAATGTTAGGCACGCTGGTGCGCTTATGCATGGCCCTACTCTAAGAATCTTAGGTATTAGTGTGGATAAGCTACTGTGTCTTCAAACTCAGAGCACAATCCTATCTCCATGAAAAGCTTGATCTTTGTCAGTCACACTCCAGACTTTCCTTCTGAGCAAGATGAGAGTAAGTTTCTGGTTTAGCTATGATGGATGTAACAAATTAACAATGTGGTCTCACATAACAGACCAAACCAATAGGCAATACTCATGATTATAGGTTTCTAAGTAGTTAGCAGTAATAATTAATACACAGAATATAATATTCTAAAGCCCAGTTGCAATCTTACCATCACCAAGATCTAATCAGTATTTGATTACATATTTATGCTCAATCTATTATTTATTTCTAAAGGTAACATTAAGTTTGCACTATGCTGTTATTTTATTTATCTAATGGAGTTTCAGTCTAATAAAAATACAGTACTCTGTCTGCTATGTTGATTCTCTCACCTGAAGCCCCAGTTTAAAGGAATGTTTTCATTAAGCAGCACATCATTCAAACTTCCTTTAGGGCAATATTCTGTTATTATGGCAATATTTGGTACCTCAATGCAGCCTCCAATAAATTTGCAAATGTTTGGATGATCTAATTGTCTGTAGAGGAGAAAAAACTCAGCATACTTATCAGAATTATCAGTTAGAGAATACACAAATTGTGTTATGTTGCTCCTGAGAAATGCATTTTCACTACAGTAGAAATATATTGGGAGTTGGGATCAAATCCCAGAATTCACTTGAACATTAATTACTGAAGTGGGAATTTGCAGATTATTTGGCTTGACTAATTGGTCCAAGTTGCTGGAACTGGAGGTAAATCTAGCTTAGCCTTTCCCAGCTTTTATTGGGGCTGTGAAGATTGAGTATTCTGAATGTTGCTATGCTGCTTCAAGACAGTGGGGTATTAAAAAATCGAAGCTCAAAACCAGCAGAATGGTCATTATTTACAAAATGTGTGGTAGATAAAAGCATGGTGAAGATCCAATCCAGAGTTCAGCTCCAGAAAAACCTGCTATTAGTAGAAGACTCAGAGCATCAATGCATTCAATTCTATCAGAAATTATGTACTCTTTCTATTTACAGAAAGAACGGAGTGTGCTACATACTTGAAAAAGGCATAATTGCTTAACAGGGTTGCAGACAAGAGGTACACCCACAACTCCTTGAACCATTTGGAATTGAACCCAAAACATCACACAGCCTTATTTGGCAGACACTTTACAATAAAGTAAAGCCCATCAAACATACTCAGAGCTGGCTGGAGGAACAAAAGCTTTCTCTCCAGGTGCAAGAGGGGGTATGACAATGTCATTCTCAATATGTCTGCTCATGTTTTGAAAATGCTTTGGGACTCAGACAGACCTCACAAAAACTCAGCACCTCTCTGCAATCCATAAGCAGCTTTTCTTTTTTAAGGCTTCCGAAGAAATCTGGAAGAAGAGGTAGCACTGCCTGAAAAGTTATATTAAGTTAAAAACACCTGTCTCTTAAAGGGGTTCAATCTCTTTTTTTCTGCCCAGATTTCCCAGGAACTCTGCTGCTTTAATGAATAGCAGAGATGTTGTGCTTGTGGAACATTTTTCTTAATCATTTTGGAAGCATGCATAGTCATAATACTCAGTACATCTGGTGGACGCTTGGCTGGAGAAAGCTGATAAAAATTATTTGATTAGAAGAGGCATCAGATCATGTAAGCCACAGAATGATGGAATCCGATGAGAAAGGAAGGTCCAGTGAGTTTAGGGTAAGAAAAACCAATCTTATTTTATTTCAGTGCCTTTATTCCTAATAGGGAATCCTTTATTGCCCACATAAATATTTAGTTCTTGGAGATTTTTGTTTTTGTTTTTTTATTATAGTTTATTTATTTATTTAAGAAAATTTATATAGCTGTCCAACTCACTCCAGGCAGCTTACAAAGATAAAGCTACTATAAGATAAAATACAAATAGAAACAAAAATAGAGAAAGTTAAAACAGTGCAGAAAGAAGTAGAAAAAAAGGGAGGGAGTAATGACTTTCTTCACTACCATAGAATGCAAAAACAATTATAACTTCAGCCTTTTGCTTTATATTTCTAAATTTTTCAAGCCATTACTATGCAAAGCCAAAGTCATTCTAATGAAAACCTAAAACGAGTTTCATTTTTTTTCCAGTTTCAAGTACAAAATCCAGAAATGGTCTCCAAATGAAAAATAGATAAAACTCTTCTGTTGAATTAAAACAGTCTGTTTTACCATCTCCCTCAATCCCATCACCTTTACCATTCATTCTTCCATGATGGAAAGTTCTTAATTTTTTTTTGTTTTAGAATTCCAGAATCTACTTTATTTTTAAAGAAATCACATTTCTAGTCCTCTTGTTTAGGTGCAAAACTTAAAGGGCCAGTTTATAATGCTAATATTTGAGTGAAGAGGAAATTTGTTTTAGATAAAAGAAAAATTTCTGTGTCCTTTTTAAATTCTGACTTATACTGTAGAAAAATACCAGCTGATCAGTTGTTTAATAAATGAAATATACAGCACATTTCAAGCAAAAGGAAAATTAATGTAAAGTCACAAAGGATGCTTATTACGTTCATTAGTAGGCATGCATCCAGACATACAATATATAGAGAATATATGTGTATAGCTTACCTAACTTGCTTGACTTCTTTACGTATGGTCTTGGTAAGGGTAAATGTCTTTTTCATTATTTTTTTGATGGCAACTGTTCTGCCATCACTGAAAAAATACAGAGATGCTTGTCTTAACTGCCAACAATCATAAAATCCAAGTACATTAAAATCTTGAAATCTTTGAAATCACTTTGGTTTTTTCCTTCATCCTATGAAACAAGCTAGGTTTAAAAGTAATAAATATTTGTTATGCAATAAGCTTCATCCATGGGTCTTTTCTACATTAAATCTCTTCATATCTCAACTATGACTTGTGGGATACTCAACATGAATATAATGTTAGCCAAGTAGATTTACATAATAAGATTTTCTCCCCTCCTTTTCTCCTGCAGTTTTCCATGTGCCTTTGAAAACTCATCTCCATGATTGAGGAAATAAAACCAGTGTTCAAAAGCAAGGCTCATCAATTTCGGAAGGGAGAAAAATGGGGTAAGGTGGGCAACAGACAACAAACGATCTTATCATGCTTATTGTGTGTGTGTATCTGCATACACATGTGTTAAAAGTAGCACCCAAGAAAAAGAACTGATGAGCATGCTTTCAGGTCTAAACAAACAAAAAGGATCCTCTTTGAGGGAACATAGCATTTTGACCAATGAAAGCTCCAAGGATCACATGAATGATCGAAAAATTCTTACTAGATTCCAGAGGGCGAGAAGCAGTTCACCTTGGAAGCATTGGTAGGGGCTGTAGATGAGCTCAACCCCGTGAGACAACTGGTGTTGGAGATGCTGGGTGCATGTGGGATACTCAAGGCACTCCCCGTGGAAATTCTTGGAAAACGGTCTAAGGAGAGGGAAAAAGAAATTCAATAGCTTATAGACCCATTGGTGTTGTGGCCCAGCAGGAGCCTTTGGAGCTGCCACCAGACTCCGACAGCGAGGGGCCCTATGAGTCAGCTTTGGAGGATGTGGAGGACCCTGGAC